CACAGTATTCTAAAAATACCACCGTGTCCTGCTGCATCCGGTTGCATGTTGCCGGATTGGATCCAGCCGCCGCTCCGACCCACAATCCTCCTGAAGACACGAGCGACGCCGCGGTGAAGCCGACAGCTCAGACTGACGACATGTGACGGTGCGTTCAAGTGCAGCCCTCCAACTGCACACTTTCCCTTTTCAGCGAACATTTTCCGGCGCAGACTGTGACGGCTGTCTGAGCTGCAGCTGACGAAACAGAACATCTCAATTTAACGCCGCACAAGGTCAGAGGAGGACCGGATCTGCAGCGAACGCACGAAACCTGGTCGTTTTCTGCACAAACGATCAAAACCCCCGAACACGTGTCGCTCTGTGTCGGATATCTGACACTTTGTGTCTCGTTTTTGACTGTTTGTTTCTTCTTTGTGTTGTTTTATGCCACTGTTTTGTTCTTTTGTGTGATGTTTTTGTCATTTTGTCGTGTTTTTGTCATTCTGTGTCCTGCTTTTGTCACTTTTTGTTACGTTTTGTGTCTCGTTTTTAGGATCTAATTGTCCTTTGTGTCATTTCATGTCTTGTTTTTGTCGTTTGTCTTGTTTTTGACTCTTTATTTCATGCTTGTGTCGTTTTATGTCTTGTTTCTTTCATTTCCTGCCTTTTTGTGGGGTATTTTCTCCTGTTTTTGCCCTTTTGTCTTTTGTTTTTGTCATTCTCTGTCTCGTTTTTGACTATTTGTTTGTTCTTTATTTTGTTTTGTGCCACCTTTTTGTCATTCTGTGTTATTTTTGTCTCATTTTTGGTTGCTTTGTTTCACATTTTTGATCATTTGTGTGACGTTTTTGTCGTGTTGTGTCATTCTGTGTCCTGTTTCTATCATTTTGTGTCCTGCTTTGGTGGCTTTGTGTCACTTTTTTGTCGTTTTGTGTCACTTTACTGTCATTTTGTGTCATCCTGTGTCTGGCTTTTTGTTTTTGTGTGTGTCTCATTTTTAGCATTTAATTTTTATTCGTGTCATTTCATGTCTTGTTTTCGTTGTTTGTCTTGTTTTTGACACTTTTTCATGTTTGTGTTGTATTTCTGCCATTTTGTGGGTGTTTTTTTGTCTTGTTTTTGCCCTTTTGTCTTTTGTTTTTGTCGTTTTGTGTCTTGTTTCTGTCATTTTATTCCATGTTTGTGTTGCTTTTCTGCCATTTTGTGCGGTTTTATGTCTCGTTTGTATTATTTTGTATCTCATCTGTATTGTTTTGTGTAATTTTTCTTTCAATAATTGCTAAAGTTAAACATATAAAAGGTTTATTTCACTGGAACAGAACCTGAGAGTTTGTCCTGCTTCTCAGCTCGTGTTGCTTCTGAGGAGGATAATCAGAGAAACAGAAGCTTTCATCAATGAACTCTGGTGGGTCTCCGTCCATCCATCCATCCATCCAGTTCTGACCCGGATGCTGCCGTTGAACACTCGACCTGATCTGGTTTCTGAATGTGGGCTGGACCTTAAAATGGGCCGATGACGCAAACACAAATAGTGCGTTAAAGTGGGACACGAACTGTCGACGGGTTTGACGCTGCGCTCAGTTTGAACATCAGTCAGAAACAGAATCCGGCAGAACGAAGGAACCGATCCAGAACCGACGATAATCAGCCAATAAGAGCTCGTAATGTATCGGTGAAGCCGCAGACTGATAAAACCGACAGAAAACGCCTCTTTTTCATCCTTTAAACATCTCAATTCAACGCATTAGGCACAAAAAATGAATGTACTGTTCGTTTTACTCACAACGGACGATTTAAACAGTTTAAAACACGATCGGCTGCAAAGCTGAAGCTTAAAATGCTGCGTTTACAGAAAACATTGCAGAAAACGTCACCTGGTTTCAGGTAAACTGTAAAAAGTCATTCAAAGGTCTCGTTTCTGCAAAATAATAATAAAATAAATACGTTTAATCTACTGATCTCCATCAACCTGTTAGACTGCAAACATTATTCTGGTTATGTAGAAACAACAGGATGATTTAAAGGTTAATAAATACGTTAAAGGTCTGAGCTGAAGTACAAAGGAAAAGTGAAGTTTTGCAGCTTCAGCTTCAGGAAACAGCCACAAAACTCTCACATATTTTCCACATATCCAGCATCCTGAAGCACCAGAAGTAAACATTGATTTGTTTACGCTGCACTTTTCACACAAAACAACAACAAAAAACCTCTAAACCAAATATTTTTGGTGAAGATTTGAATCGTGCAGGACAACAGACCTGCTCGGTTCTTTCAATAAATTACTTTAATGACAGTTTTCTCCTTCCTTTGTGCAAATATTCCAACAAAACATCCCCCGTCGCTATGTTTAGGGGCACCACCACTACATCCTGGGCTAAGCTCCGCCCAACACAACCGTGATCGGTTTAAAGAAACACAAACAAGTCAAAGCTTTTCATGTTTAGCAGAACGGTAATGAGGTGCAGCAAGATATTGAAACTCCAAACCCTTTTTTCTGTCATCATAAAGCAGAATGAACAGCAACATTTTGAAGATCAAAATGTGTGCAAAACAGAAAGTTTATAAAAAGACATTGCAGGAAGCAACAATAGGACATTTCAAGGCTTAAGAATTACGTAAAAGGTCTGAACTACAGTGCCAACTGGAGCAGCAAAGCGTGCAGATGTTGCTAAAGTTCAAACCTGGAGTTTCACAGTTTCAGCCGACGCTGAATCACGACATACAGCTGGAGGAAACTCATCACGGCATCTGCTAAAGTCGCACATATTTTGCACATAACCAGTCGTCTGATGCACCAGAAGTAAACATCTGGTTGTTTACGCTGCAAATTTCACACAAAACAACTTCAAAAAACCCAAAATGTCAAGTTTTGCTGAAGATTTGAATCGTGCAGGGAAACAGAAGTGCTTGTTTTTTGCGGTAAACAAATTACATCACAAGTTTCCCCTTCCTATGTTTAGGGGCACCGCCGCTACATCCTGGGCTAAGCTCCGCCCAACGCAAATGTGATCGGTTTATAGAAACACAAACAAGTCAAAGCAGAACACCAGAAGTAAACATTTGGTTGTTTACGCTGCAAAACAACCTCAAAGAAAAAAAAAAAAGTCAAGTTTTGCTGAAGATTTGGTTCTTTCATTAAATGACTTTTTGACAGTTTTATTCCACCAAAACAACCCCCTTTACGAGTTTCTAGGGGCACCGTCGCTACATCCTGGGCTAAGCTCCGCCCAACACGACTGTGATTGGGTGAAACAAGCCAGAGCTTGTTTTTTTTTCCAACTATAACAGTAAGATAATAACGAGCAGCAACTCCAGACTCCTCCTGGCGAATCAGAAGCTGTGTTGTAGTTTGATGCATCAGAGGCAGACTTCAGGTTGTTCATGTTGCACAATTGACACAGTTTTGGCCTCAAATTCTTCAACCTGCATTTAAATATTTTCATAATCCCCTTCGCTACACATAAAAACAATATTTTAAAACTGTACTCGTCTCCCTGAGTGCAAATATTCCACCTAAACAACCCCTTCATTGCTACTTTTAGGGGCACCGTCGCTACATCCTGGGCTAAGCTCCGCCCAACACAGCTGTGATTGGTTTCAAACAACCAGGTGTAATCAGACGATTCTCCACGAACAACACGAGACTCGTAAACAGGCTTCAACGACAGCAAACAAATAAGCACCAGCGTCTCTTTAAAGTGAACATCTGCTGCTTTTCTTCTTCCTCTAGAATATAAAGGTTGACCTGCAGACCTCATGACTCCTGGAGCTGGAGTTTGTTTTTAATCCAGTTTATTGAGTCACTTCCACTCAGAGACACAGTTCGCTTCTTGACTTGAAAAGATTCTCAGCGATCACCCAAAACACGAGCTTAAAACTAGCGTTTGACTTTCAGGAAAAGTGCAAAAATCAGGTTTACTGCTCCTTAAAATCACGTTTTACATTTTGATAAATCTAATATTTAAGTTGCTCATTTGAGAGGAATCAAACGATTTAAGATAATTTACCTGAAATTAGTCGCATTAATATAACTTGTTGACTTAATTCTGATTCATTTGTGTGTCACCAATTCAAGTTGGTCCAACGATTCTCTTTTAACACTAAGATTTGGACCTCACAGCTCTGAGGACCTAAAAGATGGCAGAACAAACCTGCTGCATGTTGGTTTTTGTTTGTTTGTTGATGAAAAGTTTGAACGTCACAAACGTCTCCTTAACGATCCACCAAATCCTGCATTAACAGACGACTTTAGTTTCATTTGTTAATTCAATTCAGTCGCCACCTGAAGGAATTAACTGATTAAAATCCATCCAATAATTTCCTTTTTAAAGTTTAATTCATCACTTTAATTTAAAACACCTGCAAACACGTACAACATATGTAAATACTGTATTTTATTATTTTATGTTTCTTTCATTTATATTTTCCACCGTTCACACATTTTATTTTTTAACCTGTTTATGATTTTTATATACATATTCCTTATTTTGTCTTTGTTGTTGTTTTTGGTTTTTTTTGCCTACTGCAGCTTAATTCCATCCTGACATGTTGTAAAAATCAGAAATAACAAAGTCTACAAACAGTCAGAGGTCACCACTTTAACTTCACTTGTTCATTAAATTCAGCTGCCAGCTGAAGGAATTAATGCATTAAAATTCATCCAGTAATTTCCTTTTCAGTGTAATTAAACTCTTTAATTGAAAACAACCTGCAGAGCACGCGCAGCAATCAGCTGATTACCATGACGGAGGTCAAAGGTCACGTTAATAATCCACCAAATCCTGCATTAATCACCCTTTAGTTCAACTTGTTCACTGAATTCAGCCTCAAACTGAAGGAATTCACTCATTTAACTCTTGACATTTTCACATTTAAAGACAAAAGCAGCAAAAAGTCACTTTAAAGAGCCGGAAGTCGCGTGTTTTTCACATGTTTGCTGATTAATGAGATTAAATGAGGTTGTAATGATGTTTGCGGGCTGCTCAGTGTCGCACACTGGCGCAACTTTCTCTTCCTACCTTTAATGTGCTCGTTCACGACGCTCTCCAGCCGCTCCAGCCTCTCCATAATCCTCAGCGTCTCTCCTTTGCTGTCCTCCTCCAACTTTCTGTCCGCCTCCTCCGCAACTTTCCCTCCGCTGTTGGCCACGTAGTTGGTGATCCAGCCGACGTACAGCAGACACACGATGTTGGTCATCCCGCTCAGGATCACGCAGGTCGACACCAAAGTTTTAGTTCTCCGTGTGCACAGCATCGCGACATCCCTCCGCGGAAGCCCGGATCCCGACGCGCCGGCGGCAGGTGCGCCGAGGAGACGGACGCGGAGCCGCGGATCAGTCCGCCTCTGCGCGCTCCGGCGCCGGCTCGGGCATCGCTCGCTGCTCCGGTTGGGGGGGCCGCAGGTGGAGGATTCCGCTGCTGATCCGGCCGGAGTCCCGCTGAGCAGCCGGAGAATCACGCTGCGCTCCGCCGAGGAGAGTCTGTGAGCCGCAGCGCTGCTCCCCGCCGCCCGGAGCCTCGGCGGCCCAATGGAAGAGCAGGAGGCGGGACCAGAGCCTGGGCCGGCCCCCCACAGCTGGAGCAGGAGGGCGGAGGAGGAGGTGGAGGAGGTGGAGGAGGGATGGATGAAGGATGGATGGAGGATTGATGGATGGAGGAGCATCGACCTGCTGGATGACTGAATCCAAACAGGTGCGCGCTGGTCCAAGCTGCGGACGGAGCTCATGTTTGGGACTGAAGCAAAATTACCTGCAGCCTGTTGGAGCTTCATTTAATGTGAAAACAACTCCAGCTGGGACTTTATGAAAATCAATTAATTACATAAAAAATATTAAAACATTAAATATTAAAGCATTGATCTTTATAATGCCATCTATGATTTTTTAGCTCAATACTTTGGGAAAAAAGAAATTTCAAAACCTGCTCGTTGAACCTCTTCCAGCAGATCTCACAGTGAAATTAGAGTCTGTTTGAACAACAACATCTAAAGAAATATTAAAGATAAAAACCTGAAATATACATTGTTTGTTCATGTTGTGAATTCAGAATCTTTAAATATATTATTTTTGTTTAACTTTGATTCTTAAATTAAAAGCTTTCCAGGGCC